AAGCATCGCTCCACGGAGCTCCCGGCTGCACCGGCTCATCCCGGCAGGAAAAGCTTCCTTCCCCGGCACCGCTCACTGCGTCAGCCCCAACGCCTCGCTGCCCCCAAGCTCTGCTCCCACCTGGGGTGGGGGGCAGGAGACCCCGCAGGGCCCTGCACATTTTGGATGGTTAACGAGTCTCCCGAGTTCTTGCAGGCAAAAGTTTTGGGAAGCGGGCTGAACCTCTGAGCCTGCGTCAGAGATCACGAGAAGACCCCTCCATGCTGCCCTGCAGGGATCGCGCATCTTCTCCCGGCACCGGGCCGGGCTGCCGGCAGGATGCGGGTACGTCGGTGCTGGCTGCGAGACCCTAGCCCAGCCCGATGGGCTATGGTGGAGGGATGCTGGAGCTCCCCCCGGAAACGTCAAGCACCCCCCGGGGTGCAGAGCAGAGAAGCCGCCTACGCCTCATCCTGCCCAGCCGCTGTGGGGCAACGGGCGACCAGCGGAGATCAAAGCAATCCCACGAGAGAGTCCTCAGGCAGCGCAGCACAGCCCGCAGCTTCCTTCCAAGGCAGAGAGCGGATGCGTCCCCTCCGCGTCTGCCGCTGGCAGGGCTGGCTCGGGCGAGAAACAGCCCTCGCTGCGCAGCAAACACAGCCTGGTCTGAGCCTGGGGCTGCACCGCGGGGCAGCCGGGCTCTGCGCTGCGCCGGCCATCGCTGGCCCCTTCCGCTCCCTGCCCTGACCACGCTCCAGACCGCTGCCCATGGGCAGAAGCGAAAGGGCTTGCTGGGGTCAGGGAGCCCTTTCACCGCTGCTTTTCTTTCCCCCAGTGTCCACGGTGCCAAGCTCCCACGCAGGGTGCTGAGCTCCCACGCAGGGTGCTGAGCTCCCACGCAGGGTGCTGAGCTCACAGGACAGGCCCCCTCCTGCAAGAGCCCCTCATTTTGGAGGCTGTAACTCAGCTGGGCTGCTCTGGCGCTTGCCGGAGGGAGCAGCAGCGAGCACAGAGAGGGTCTTCCCTTCCCCAACTCCCTTCGCACTCGGAAACTTTCCAAAATAGCTATTCCGGGCTAATTATTCCATTCTGGAAGTGGATTAAGCTGAAGCGGAAAAAGGCACTCTTATTCTGGAATATGAGCGTCCGCACAGGGGCCTCCGCTGAAGCAGTGGCTTTGGAAGAGCTATTTCGGTGAATCACCAAGTACAAAAAGCCTCCAGATGACCTCTCCTCTTCACCCACCGCTGCCCAACATCTTCCCGAACGCAGGCGGCTCAGCCAGCCCACAGCCCCTCATTTTTGTCCCTCCCAGAGCCATAGCTCGGGAGCAGCTTGGGCACTACATCTTCAGGGGGGGCAAAAGGGTCCCCTATCCCCGTCCCCCGCCTCGGAGGCAGCCCCTACCTGGCAGGCACGGGCAGTCGGA